TTTAGGCATTAGTGAACATCAATATACTCAGATATACAGCTTAAAAGTCCAATAAAATATCACATTTCAGTTTTTATGAGCAATTAAATGCGACTCCAAGATTTTTTTCCATTTGAAACCACTATAGTCCAAGATCTATGGACAGCAAATTGTGAGTCAGGTTTCATCTTTGAAATTAGATTTAGCAACAAACAAAACAATAAGCTAATACCTTTTTAACATAGCTTCTCTGATTCTTAATTTGGAGAACTTTATGAGACCGCAAGTTTTTGATTCGAACCAAAAATTGAATCAAGTGTTATGAATCAAGACTAAAGTAAGCTGGAATACACAATCACATACATATATATAAGCCTGAAAGTTTGCTCGTAAAAATATATAAATTTATTTCAAATATGCAATGGAGCTTAAGTTGTTCAAAGATGAACTAAAAACAAGTTATATACTCTCATGACTAATCTTATACACTGTTGGTTCTATGTTACAGAAGGACTGGTTTACAAAAGCGGCTGTGTTATATCAGAACTATAAGATTTTCAAGTGGTGGATAGTGATGATTCAGGCCTTTATGGAATTCGTTACAAAACTTAACCACTGATCTTATACACTGTAGGTTCGATGTTACAGAAGGATACCAATCATACCATGTAGAATTGGATATTGAACTAACTTGCTTTATTAAACCTTTACACAATGCCTTATATACACTAGGGTTTACAACAACCGACTATAACGTGAACCATACGTTACAGGGCCAGACATATGGCCCAATTAGATATAAACTCTATCCTCATTGTCAAAAGCTTGTTTCCATAAAAACAGAGCTAAAGAGTGAAATGGATGATAGAACTGCAAGCAAACTACAAAAGTCAAGGGAAATTTTTGATGATTTTAGTTTTATGGTTCGGTTTGGTTTGAATATATAGACCGGTCGGTTTATAAGAACTTTAAATCAGTTTCTCTTAGATCAGTAGGGTCCATTGCAAGCACACTTCGAATGCGCACCCAACAGTTTTTGCATATCACAGTTGTTTTTTTTTCTTCTTGCAGGCTCATAAGAGCACCCTCAATGGGGGTTTCTAAACATCGGTTTCTTAAATAAAATGAAAGTGTAAGTATAGATAAATAATATTTTAATATTGATGAGACCTTTGTTTTTGTTATATTAGATGTTTTAAAGATTTGTTTTTCTGTTTCATTTCATTAACTTTTTACAAGTTTTTATGAAATAATTAAAGTTTATTTAGTTTGTTTTTTGTGACCATTAACATTATGCAGTATATTGTTTTTTTATCTTTGGGTGAATTTTTCAAAGTATTTTTTTCATATAGACAGAAGTAAAATATTTATAATTTAATGTTGAAGGATTTTTGTAAATTTTTAAAATTTTGTGATTCCATTGTTATTGGTTTTATGTATTTTTAGATTCTTAGATTTTTAAATTATATTCAAAATTACTTGTTATTCAAACTTTTTATTATTATTGATTTTGTAGTTCTATTAAAACTTAGTGTTGCTACTTAGAACTTTGATTCTTTATAATTTTATTGATTATCGATGAGTTTGGTAAAGTTTTTTAACAAAACTTTTTAAAAAAAAAAATCTCTACGAATTTAACAAATTAATGAACTATTGGAATCAACATAATTTATGGAAATTCAATTCTCACTATGCCTCCGTAGTTTCTTAAATCTCCCGGTTTTACCCAAAACATCTAATAAATTCAAAGAAGAAATAATTTCTTTCCAATTAGGGCTGACGATCTATTAGCAATAGATCCACCCAAACTTTGGGTCTTGTTCTATTTCTCCATAAAAAAAAGAGCTCTAAATTCATTTATAACGGAACTAAAACTTCGAAATCCCAGAAAACACAAATACGTCGGTTATATTGGTTTACGACCTAAACTGGATACCAAATCACCTAAACCTGATACTAAACCAAGTTAACGAACTTTTAAAATATTAACAAATTCTGTGGAAAAACACTATTAACGAATTTTTAAAATATGAGTCACTATGGAAAACCAAATTAATGAAATTTTAAAATATCAATAAATTTTGTGAAAAACCAAATTAACGAACTTTTAAAATATCAACAAACTTTGTAAAAATCCAAATTCACGAAATTACAATATCAACAAACTCTATAAAAAAAACCAAATTAATGAACTTTCTCACGGTTTTTACCCAAAATATCTAATAAACTCAAAATGGAAATAGTTTCTTTCCAATAATCTTATATAGTAGGAAATCTTATTTAATTTCCAGCTCATCATATCTGCAACATAATTTATTTGCTTTAACTTTCATTCAAACTTTTACACATTGGGCCAAAACATAGATGGGAAAAATAATAAAATAGCCAAATAGGTATTCTCTTTCATATTTCTTATCAAGAAATTGTTTCCCTCTGAAAACAATCACCAACAAAAACGAGAAACACCCGTCTCTCTTGAAACTCTGTTTCACCACCACACCTCCATTGAAGGATCTGAAGCTATGCTTCCTTGTCAAATTCTTTCAGCTCCTTCCCCTCAAATCAATGCTCTGTCTTCTAGTGTTTCCTTCAATGGGTGGAGATTTGCAAACCCGAGATTTAAGTTTTGGGCTAGAAAAATGGCTACTTTGCACGAAACCATCTGGAGAAAAGCTGGGATCTTTGAAGCAGTTAATGCATCCACATACAATATCTGCAAAAACACAGATCTCGTTCTTGATGTTGCTGAGAAATGGTGTCCTGATACTAACACCTTTGTTTTCCCTTGGGGTGAAACAACCATAACCCTTGAAGACGTTATGGTGCTTTCAGGTCTCTCTGTTTTGGGTTCACCGGTTTCTGCTACTCTGGATAGCTCAGGAGAGGTGATTATGGCGAAGCTAAAGAAAGAATGGCAGACGATTAAACGAATAGGTAAAGTAAGTCATGTAACACAACTGGCATGGACGGATAGATTCAAGAACAGTGGTGATGAGCTTGAGCATGTTGCTTTCCTTGTCTTGTGGCTTAGCTACTTTGTGTTTCCATCACGCTTCCATCATATCTGTGAGCCTATTTTGTCAATTGCTGTTCATCTTTCATGTGGGACTAGGATTGCTCTTGCTCCTGCTGTTCTTGCAAATTTGTATGCTGACCTAAGTCTCTTAAAAACCCACATCAGAGGCTTTAGCAAATCGTCTACTAGGGGCGAAATTGGTTTGAGTGCCTTGTTTAAGCTGGTTCAAGTTTGGACATGGGAGAGATTTAGGGAACTACAACCAAACCCTAATGAGTTGCTAGAAGGTAAGCCAAGAGTGGCTCTTTGGAATGACTTGAAACAGAAAACTAGCGACGCGAGGCAGATTCTGGACAATTCGAAAATCGACAGTTTTGAGTGGCGTCCCTACACAAGAAGTGTGAAAAACTGGGATTTTCCTAAGTTTTACCCTGAGGAAGCGATGTGTGTTCGTGTTTGTCCGAGTCTTGATGAAGAATATATCTCATTTGCTCGATGCATCAAAGTGTCTGAGCTTGTTGGAATTAGGAAAGTGGAGCATTACTTCCCCAATAGAGTGGCTTCACAGTTTGGAATGCTTCAGGATGTTCCTTCTCCTATTGAAAGGAACAAGCTCTCACGGGAGGCAGCTTGGAAGGATTATGATAAGCCTATTGATGATTTGACATTACACATTCCTTCCCGTTCTGCAATACCTCGTGTGACTTCAACATTCTGCGAATGGTGGAGAAAGTCGTATCCAGAATTAATCCAGTATTCTTCTAAGGAGAAGGGTGTTGTTGTATCAGCTGAAACATTAAAAATCATAGGTGATGATACTAGTTCAGGCGTTAAGAGGAAGAGCACAAGCAAGGATGAAATGACTATAGCTGAGTATTCAAACAAGAGACTCAAGTGCATTGAGGAAGCTCATGACAAGAGCCTCAAGTGCATTGAGGAAGCTCGTGAAATAGGTAACAATGATTCAGCTGGAATCTTGAATTTAAGAAACATTGTAGGTGATCATAGTAGTTTTGTTCTTTCAGGCTCAAACAGAACAAGCAAGGATGAAATGAAGATAGCTGAGGATTCAAACAAGAGAAGCAAGTACGTGATGCAAGATCGTAAGAACGATGGGAGTACTATGGGTCTTTGTCAGAGTCAGCTACCTTCAGAAAATGATGAAGAAGTCCATAGTCTCACCATCGCTGAACCGCTGGATTTAAACATTCACATTGCTGTAGCTGATGAAACTCATGGACAGGATCGTTTGCTTCTTGATAATGGCCTTGGAAGTAAAGAAACTATGAAATCCAGTGAGGATTTAGAAAAGAGAAATGATGGTTCTGGTGAGGGTAATGCTGGTAAGGACTCCTACGAAGAGAGATTTCAAAAGCTGAAGGTGCTGGTATCGTCGCTAGAAGAGCGTATGAATAAGACACAAAAAACTGTGGCATGGTTGATTGAACAGAAAACCGTAAAAGAGAGAAGACTAGCAGCAGCAGCTCGTTTGATCTAGGCGTGTTCGAGGTTGGTTTTGGCAGTCAAATGCAAGTGGAGATTATCAAAGATCAATCTCACCTTTGTGACCTTTTGGTTTATTATCTTTTATTTTACCTTCTGAGAACTGGTTTGCTTTAAGTGTTTCATTGAATCTTTTGAGGACTGGTTTGCTTTTAAGTGTTTCATTGTATCTTTTGAGGACTGGTTTGCTTTTAAGTGTTTCATTTGTATCTTTGAACACAGTTATGAGTTTCTTGGTTTCCTTATCGAGATAAAAGCCTGATTCGATAAGGAAACCAAGATATTAATTATGCAAGTAGAATATCAAAGATCAATCTCACCTTTGTGATCTCTTGGTTTAGTATCTTTTTATGTTCCTGCTTAGTATCTTTTAAGAACTGGTTTGCTTTTAAGTGTGTTATAATTTATTTGTATCTTTTGAACAGAGTACTTATGATCTAATAGCTCCTTGGTGTGTTGCATATCAGAGTGTATATGGAACAGCTTGATTCGATCATATGAAAAATACAAATTAGATTTATGCAAGAGATTCTTACATTAGGAACTAAAAATCTCAGACGAAAAACCATGTTCGCCTAGGGACCAAGATAAACAAACCTTTAAGGCGTAATCAAAACAGCTTTATCTACACTATCCTGATTTGCAAATCGAAAATTCATATACCTTATTTCAACAATGGAGGAGATATAGTATGCCCCATCGACAACCGGAGTACATAACACTATCATTCAGCTTTCGGTGGTATGTGGTTGCCGCCAGTCGCGATCTTGAATACGTAGAAACAAGTCATGAGAGCACTGCAATATACACAAGGAAAATGGTTTTTGGGTTAAAATGTTAAAAGAGACATTGAAAGCCTAAACCTTTGGATGCAAAACAAAAGATAATAACCTGATTCCAGCAACCAAACCAGCCGGTATAATCTTCTGAGTTTGCAAGAAACGTTGTCCCATGACAAATGTGAGAGCAGCTGCAATGACTGTATTGCAAGACATTCAGATTAGTTATCATTGACTATATAGCCCCAAGATCTATGTATGGACAGTTAAATGTGAGTCAGTTTTCAGAGATCACAATTAGCAACAAACAATAAAGCTAATACCTTTTTTAACATAGCTTATCTAACTCTTAAGTTAGTGAGCCTACCATAAAAAAACAAGTTCTTGATTTCCAACAAAGAAGCCAATAATTGTTCTGAATTCACCTAACTTGGGTCTAAAGTTGCTAACTTTCTAATGTTGAAACTTAAAAGTCTATCACTTTTTGGAATAAAATGCAAGTAAGAACTCGAATTCCAATGGAACTTAGAAAATCTAATCCCAGACCATGAAACAAACCTGTTTCGAGAAGAGTAGCGAGTGAGGAAGTCTTCTTCTTCTCGAAAGCTTTAAGGCTGATGAAACCAGCGAGGACGACAAGCAATCCAGTGCCTGCTCCTCCGGCGAGAGATGCAAAACTTCCTTTCTTCAAATATCCGATAAATCCTCCGACCATCAATAGCATCCCGTACGGGATAGTGAAGCAGAAATCGTGCATTCTCGAACTGGGTTTTGATTTTCCGGGGAAATGGAATCTGGGTTTTGATATTCCGGCAATTTGGAATCTGGGTTTTTTTTTTGTTTAGAGATCGTCTCCGATCAATTTATATGAGTGCGTTTGGATTTGGTGAGCGCGTGGAAGAAGTCAGCTTCGGCGATTCTTCGTCAACGGTCTCTAGAACGTCAATCAACTGCTCCCACTTTTAGATCCCATAACTTCGTGACACTTACCATTATACCCTCACTCGATAATGCTTGCTTAATGTAATTAACTAGTACTAGGTCGACACCCGCGCTACGCTGCGGGGCTCTTTTAGATATATTTTTTTTTCCGAAAAAGTTGTTTGAATCAAATGGTTTTAAGAGGACAATATTCATGAGATGAATGCATCAACTGTTTACGTTGCGGATAGTTTTCGTAAATTAATTCTGTCTTAATTTTATATTTGTTTGTTTTTATTATATATTTTAGTATATGTTTGTTTTTATTTTATATTTTAGTATATGTTTAACTTCTTACAAATGTTAGATTTATTTTTATACTTTAAGAACCTTAGATTCTTTATGTTAACGATATTTATGGTACACAAGCATACTTTGAAATTTTGAATCATACTATAAATATTTAACATGTCTTTTTTTTTTAAGAAAAAATCTTTTTTAATCATTAGATCACAATAATTAGCTACTAAAAATTATATAGATACCAAAGAAAAAAATTATAAATGTATTGTGGGAAGTTCATCTTAGATTACTGGTTTAAAATTTTAACCAGAATGATATAGGATCTTCTTCCCTTGTTTTTTTAGCTAAAATTCTTCTTCCCTTGTTGCAGTAGTTGTAGCTCCAAAGACAAATTTACGAAAAGGTTGCAAGATTAGCTATGTCCAATACGTGAAACAAAGGACATAGAACATTGAACACTATAAACAATTTTTTAACTATAAAATAATTTGATTCTCGAATTAGATGGGATCAATATGATTATTATCAACCATGCATTTTTCCTTGTACGATTAATTCAATGTCAATTTGGGAGTATTTTATAGACCCAATCTGATCCGATAGTAACACCGGTCTGACTACAATCGATTTAGTCACCGGTTCAAGATTTATTATATTTTTATATTAAAGTAATAATTGTGGTCTTCTTCTTCCCCTTAACCTCCTCTCATTATTCCAAAGCTTCTCCAATCATCTTTCTCAATTGTAGATCTGTGTAAGCTCTTGTTAGACCTTCGTGTAAGTAACATTTTCATTGTTGTATCGTCTTTGACTCTGTTAGACAAAAGTAAAAATAACTAATAGTATTTAATATAAATAAACATTTTTTATTAAAATTAAAAGATTAAAAGCTCCCAACAAAATATAAAGATTTAATTATTTAAATTAATACATATAATCACAAATTCACAATTAAAGCAAAGAAAATAGAAAAACCTATCTTTTAGCGATGTGATTTTGTTCAACAAAATATAATAATATGCATAGTATTAGTGAGTGAGTGATTAAACATAAATGAGAAGAAAAACAATTGAACACGTCAAAAAGAAATAAACGAATTGGGCTTGGTAACTAAACCAAATTGGGCCAATAGGAAAAACTAAGAAAATAATATGTGGAGAGAGAGAGTATGACGTGGATCAGAGAAGTATTATTACTGGAATAAAATGCTTAGTTGTATTAATCGAAATGTTCTCATTGGATGACAATTTTAATGAGGTGTCAGCTTGAGAACATCCAAAAACGCTGAGGTGTCGGATCTGGAGAGATCCTTATTGTTATTATTGTATTGATTAATACTTTAATTAATGTCATGAGGGAATGTTAATACTCAATTTTAAATTACAACATTGTGGCGGGACGCATCTAAGTAAGAACCCTAGAAAGCCACCAATTAATCGGAGTCGACGATTGTGGAATCAAGCCGAAGAATGCGCATATACTCGTGATCTCAACCTAATTTGGGGAAAATAAAGAGTGATGAGTAAAACAAGTTTTACTTAGTGGCTATCACTTGTATCCATCAACACAAACAAAAATTAAACACATTAGCAAGCGCATAAACTAAGCCTAAAACAAGCAGTCATCGCACAACCAATTACATACATCTAATTATAATTATAATTAATAGCACATCACATATTTATCATACTAGCATACTCATCACCATGAAAAAATCATCACAACTCAATTCATACTACATCATGCAACCATCGATATCACTAAGTCAAAATTCCATCAACTTACTTTTTAGAGACGAAACCTATCCCATGTTAGTCCAATTACTATGCATGGATGCAGGACAGGATCTAGTTACGTTAGGTCATAATCCAATCACATAACATATCATTGACACATGTTCATATCACATATTATCTCACATAATCACCTAGTACGTATATCATCACTAATCATCATGTCGTCATGCATCAACACATCATCAAACATCATATTCACTAATCGATTATGGACCCATCTTTTTACATCGTACTTTAGGTTCAATTGAACGGAATTTATTTTATTTTATTACCGATTCAATGAAAACAAATGAGGTTTAAAAGTTCGGGTGGTATTAAATTTGATTATGTTAGTTTCTGTAGTAAAAACAAGAGAATATATATAGACATTAGCCTCAATTCTTGGCCGCCTTTTGTTGTCTCATGTATTTCTAAGTCGTCTATATATTTCGTACATACACTACAAGAAAACAGGTGATTTGCGTGGAAATATTGCGAGGAACAATATGCCTCGCTATATAGCGTGTAATGAGCATGGAAAAAGCGTCGAATTGTCATTCAATGCTATTTCGTCGCTACTTTGCGTGGAACTCGTTCGTCGCAACGTTTGCGTGTATTTAGCGACGAATATGAGTGGAACTAGTGAATTCGTCGCAAACGCCACGCAAATAAGCGACGAATTTGCATGGATGGATTCGATGCAAAGTTGCGACGCATTTGAGACGATTTTATAGTGGTAGGTGAGAAACGTTTTGAAAATGTGCCACCTACTTTGCCTTTCCTCGCATTTTCGTCGCTAATAAACCACGCAAAAACCTCGCAAATATATTTTGTATGCCTATATAAACCGACGTTGTGATGAGTAAATGGATAAGAAACAACATATTCTCTATTCAAAATTAAACATTCTTCTTCGAATCTTTTCTTCAAAGTTTTTGTATTTTTTAATCTTGGAGTTATATATATATATAATATATATGTCGTCGTCTCACGAGATTTATATTCGGCGGGAGTGGATGTATAAGCACAAAGATTCTGATGGATCGGTGACACGGGAGTTTGCAGATGGGTTAGAAGAATTCATGATAACCGCAAATCAAATGCCACTGACGCAAGAAACTGGTAACATGTCTTGTCCATGTCGAAAGTGCAAAAATAGTCGATATTTTTCGGTGAAAACCGTCGGAAAGCATTTATATAATAGAGGGTTCATGTCAAATTATTATGTTTGGTTTTGGCATGGTGAAGGAAATATGGTGAATGCATCGTCTAGTAATGCTAGTTTTCAACAAGAAGAGGAACCTCATATTAATTTTGAGCATCAGCAGTTTGATTATAGTCAACCAAATCATAATAGTTTTCATGATATGGTCCATGATGCATTTCATGAAACGGCAACATTCTCTGATAACCCCGAGGATCCTAATTTAGATGCTCAACAATTTTATGATATGTTAGATGCTGCAAATCAAACCAATCTACGATGGATGTAGAGAAGGAATGTCTAGATTATCACTTGCATCTAGAATGATGAACATAAAAACAGATAACAACTTATCTGAGGTTTGCATGGATTCATGGGCTGAATTAATTAACGAGATATTGCCAGAGGATAATTTAGCTCCTGAGTCATATTATGAGATACAAAAGTTGGTATACAGTCTTGGGTTGCCTTCAGAGATGATAGATGTTTGCATTGATAATTGCATGATATTTTTGAAAGAAGATGATCAATTGCAGGAATGTCGATTTTGTGGAAAGCCAAGATATAAGCCAAGTACAGGACGAACGAAGATCCCGTACCAACGTATGTGGTATCTTCCAATTACGGATAGGCTTAAAAGACTATATCATTCAGAAAGGACATCTGCGTCAATGAGATGGCATGCTGATCATTCACGTACAGAAGGTGAGGTGACACATCCATCAGATGCGAAAGCTTGGCAACATTTTAACACGGTACATTCAGACTTTGCAAGAGAGAGTAGGAATGTTTATCTTGGTCTATGCACTGACGGGTTTAGTCCGTTTGGTATGTCCGGTAGGCAGTATTCTTTGTGGCCGGTAATAGTGACACCATACAATCTACCTCCAGATATGTGTATGCAACAGGAATTTTTATTTTTGAGTATTTTAGTGGGCGGTCACGGCCCGAGTAGACACACCTCAGGGCAGAAGACTTATGCACGTCGTGCATTAGAAAGCGTTAGTATTTTCTGCTTTTCACATTTAATTTCATATTCCAGTTTCTTGATAATGATTTTAACTTTCATGTAGGCTGAGAAGAATGGAGGTGTACTCCCTCCAATTGTCGAGATAATGGAGCAGACTCACAAGAGAAAGAATGGAGTTTTCGTTGACGGTTTTGCTGAGCAAATCTGCAAAGAAGTTTCAGCCAAGATTGCAGAGCGGGAGTCTCAGCTCTCTCCAGGACACTCTGACCAGCCTGGTGGCCTATCCATAGCTGAGAAGAACAATATCTTGTTGGAGGTATTATTTTTTAACTCTCTTAGTATATAGATATGCACCTACTTGCTTATTCACATATAGCCTATTTATTTTTCAATCTTGTTTGAGTTCTTTGAGTCTTCTTCAATCTTCATCATCGTTTTAACATCATATATATCTATATCATTGAACATTTTGGCTATTAAGATCAGAGGTGCAATAGTTTAATGATGGTTTAAGTGGAATTTTAAGTAATGTTCTGTCTAAAGCTATGTGGTTTTGCTGACATATCTCTTTCTTATATTGAATACATATCTGTTTCTTTTTTTGTGTGTGTGACATACGCCTGTTTTTGGTGTTGTTTAGACTTTTGTGATATGCATCTTCTTCTAAGTTAGTAAGTTGTGATATGCATCTTCTTCTAAGTCACTATTTTATCTTCTGGTTTTGTTATCTATTCAAATTTCCTTCACCATGTTTTTTCCAGGCTGCTCCAAAGAATAAAAAGGGACGGATTTATGGTGTTGGTTCTATTCAAGTTATCCCATCTGCTTCATCATTTGATCCTCCACCTACTTCAGATGATTATGTCGATCGGCAAACCTATGAAGCGGAGAGAAAACGAAACAACGACCTTCTTACACGGATCCATGGCTACGATTATCTCTTTGACATTGTAGCGCAAGATTTTCCAGCTCTAGCAACAGCACTTAGGGCTCAGAGACCTCCAACGCAGGGAGCAGAAGCCCAAACAGAGGAACCACAACACCAAACAGAGGAAGCTGCAACAGCTCAGGGTACTCCTCAAGCATGATCCCATTATTTTGGGTTTTTTTGTTGTATTATAAACCTAAATCTATCGGCAACATTACTTTTTGTCAATATCAAACTATTTTAGTTTTAATCAATGTTAATTACTATTTGCTTTTGATTTCAGTTAAATTTCGTGTTAATTTTAATTACAGATTAAAACAAAAAAAAAAACCTAATTTGTGAAACTGGATTAAAATTGGATTCAAGAACTATATATCCATCGTAATTTGCATATTTGTTGCTAACTAGCGACGCGGTTACGAGGAATACGTCGATGCAAATACGACGCAAATATGCGTGGGACTTATTCGATGCAAATTCATCGCAAACAGTGCGTCGATTTTGCGACTGATTGTCGCGTGGAAACTGCGAGGGATTTGTTTCGTCGCAAACGTTGCATGGAAACTGCGACGAATAATGATTTGCGACGAGAGTTTAGCGACGAATCTTAATTCGTCGCATAAGACATGCAAAAGGTCTTTTGCGACGCTTTTGCGAGGAATACCTGCCTCGCAAATGACATGTTTTCTTGTAGTAATATTTTTAATTGTTATTAGGAAAGTTAATATTTGTGTACATTTTCTTGTTACCAAATAGTTAAATTTCTTATTTAGTAACAATGAAATATATACAATAACCACATCTCATGACTTTAGTAAATTATAGATTTAGAAATAACGGTAACTTCCTAAGTTAACATATTGACATTTTTCTAGATCCTTTTTTATTCTTCTATAACCATATCTTCATGATTTTCATAATCTCAACTAGTCGTCTTGACCGTTCGCTCGATTTCATCGATCTCACATTTAATACAAAATGAAACTTTATTACCAAGTAATTTATGATTATATATATGTGGGTATAGATCGAGTCTAATAGAGGTACATACAACGCAAAGATCCTTAAAAAGTTCATTAGTCCCAATATTGTTTTCAGATTTCAAGAAAGATGGGTTTCTTCTCCAAGCTTTTTAGTTGTTTCACGAAGCCATCTTCAAAGAAAGGTTCATGCAAGGGTGGTGTCTGTGTTCTTAAGAAGCCTAAATAACATGGATGAGTTTGCTACTATGTAGTAGTAGTCAAAAAGTTCTTATCATAATCATTTTCTTTTCAATATTTATGTTTCTCTTTTCATATTATTAATGTGCACTTGATATTTTAAGTTAATTTGAGGATAAAGATGCTATATGCTTTTTATTTTTAGTTTGATTATGTTGGTTTCTAATAGTAAAAGCAAAAGATGAAGATCGTGTGGAATGAATTTTGATTGCAAAACTTTAGTATACGGATGTTAACCCATGATTTAATAAGAAGTTAAGAACTCATTTAATAGTTCATAGTTTTATAAAACTTAAACCAATTAATGGAGCTCATAGTTTAATCGGAGTCTTCATCTTCTTCCTCTTCATCACCTTGGAGCGACTTAAAAAGCAACGATGGAACCAAAAAATTGGTTACCAAATACATGGAGATCATTGCTCCACTGCAACAAGAACAATAAATCAACACAAATAACTACATTAATTTCCCAATAATAACAACAATAATATATAGCTATCTAGTATATATATAATCTTTAGATTTTTTTCTTTCTTAAGTTAAAAAAAATTAAAAGAAATGGATATTAGAGATAGACCTAACGAGGAGGAAGGTAGTGATATCACCAGACTCAGAAGGAGGAACCACACTTGCTTTTGGTTTTAGTCTGAACCCATTTTTAGGATAATTACTGATTTGCCATTGATGTTTGCTGCTTAAGCTTGAAGGAGATGAGGATATGAAGAAGAACACTTGTTTTCTTCTCAGACTCTCTTCTTGCTTCGCCTGCCGATTCAACACCATGGAACTGGCAGGTAATTGCTGATGGTAACATGCACACCACATTTTTCAGACTCAAACTTTCTCTCTTTTTCGTTAAAACTTTGACCCCAAAAAAAAAAAAAAACACTTCGTTATCTAGGCTCCTGTCAAAATTTGGTGAAGATAGGCTTTTTGCCAATCTTGTGTAGACACGTCACCATGTATCTAATGATTTTGTTTTAATTTGGAGTCAAATAAGATTAAAAAGGAACCCCAAGTTTTCCTAGAATATTATCTTCGTCCTCTTATTTTTCTTTAGCTTATGACAAGATGCATTAATAATCATCCTATATACAATATGATTAGCGTTTTGAAAAGACTTACTCATTAAAAACCTGGGCAAAGCAATTGGAGATTAACAAACTACGAGCACTATAATAAAAGTTGCAAACCGGTAAATGTTTGTACAATTTTGCATTGTTTATTGTTGTAATGTTTGTTATATATGTTTTCATTAATGTTGTAACGAATGGGACTTCATTGTTTACAAAATCATAAATGGTTAAGAAGCTGGATATTATTCTACACTCATTATAGCTGCTAATGAGTGTTGCCTATGGTCAAATCAAGTTTATAAAGTAACAATAAAGATGACATTCCTTTAATTAGAAAATCTGAATTTATACAATACTCAAAAACTATATCAAGTCATTTTCCCATTTCCTTGTTCTTGTTATGGACACAAATAGATACCCAGTACAGTACAAAAGAGTAATTGACTGGATCCAAATTCAACAATCTCACAAGCTTTGTTGCCACCACATTTGGGATCAGATAATGTAACATTCACTCGGTGTATCATAGCTGGAGTGATTTCTTAGTCAATTCGATGTACCTGTCGTTGGCACCCAAACAACCTTTTGCTGTTTCCAGCAGTCTCAAGCAAAGTTCTGTGACTTTCTCATTCATCTGCACATCATCAAACATGTCACCAACCCAAGTTAATACAAATTTTAACTTATCAGGAATGAGAAAATATGCAAAACTTGGGAGAAACAGTACAACTAGTGCTAATGATATGCAATTGCAAGCTTCAAGGGCCATATTCCCCCGAGCAATCTGCAATTATATAACCTCATGTTAGTTAGAGAAACAAATATACTTAGAATGTTTTATACTAGTGGTAGTAATTTTACCTGTGAAGACTCTTGCTCAATAGCATCTAATAGCTCACTTAGAACTAACTGACTACATGAGACAAGTTCCTGCTTGTATGATGAATCACCAAAGAACAACAAATCATTTCCAATTATCTGCACAAAGAGCAAGTATAACCCAAAGTTTAGCTTATAAATCCAGCCATCAGAAAACTTACCCAGACCAAGGAATTTCGACAATTGAACAAATTTTTTGCTTCCATTAAGATGATGAGAGGCATATAAATACCTCTGGATTGGCAGAATGGTAAGGCAGATTTTCCTGAGAAAGTGTTGACAACAGTGACATTATAGCACAGAATATCTTCACCTTTAATCTCGGCGTTGCCCTACAACAACACGAAATGTCACACAACCGCAATTACATAAGGGACAGTTAAATTTAGAGATAAGAAAGAGGGCATTAGAACAGCAGACAAACAAGAGAATACATGTTCATATCCACAGGTAGGTAAGTACTAAGTCCTTGAGATATGCATACCATGAACTAGAACAAGTAGCAGAGAAGATACTTTTAAGGATCTCCATCACGCCTTTCTCGGGATTACCTTTCCAAATGAATATACGGTTAAAATTCAGTTATGAAGCTCTGAAGAAATAAGGAGAACAAAAGCAATTTGGTGACAGAGAGTCACATCTATATTGCTGAGCAAAAACTATCCAACAGATTCCACGATATTTACCTGGGACCATTACCAAGAGGCTGCACAATTTGCATACAACCGAGGCCATACTATCTACGTCAATTGATTTTAAACCTGATAGAGAAAAATGTACAAGATATTATACCATCAACGATTCAACATATCCGATGCATGTTCATTTAAGGCATATACATTTATCTAGAGAGAAAATAAAAAGCCCTAAAGAACAACTGAAAATGGAAAAAAATGAAGCCTACAAAGCTAGAGTGACGAAGAACAAAGATAATCGTCTATACTTCAAAAAACTTCACAAGTAAAAGTGTATGCATGCCACCGACCTTAGGATCATCACTACAAAATTCAAAGGAAGTGTTCTCTTTGCAGTAACTGGTTTTAGGGTGGCAAGATATGTCAGACTAGTTTTATTACTTCTCACTTATTAATTTAGTATTCAGTAGTTAAATTGAACATTTCTAGACTCACCATCTGTTACCGCTACATTCTCTAGATACTCAACAGCTGACATGACCAGTCCATCTGAATGAGAAATCAAACCACCTAAAAGTGCAACCTATAAAACAAACTTCAGTACGTATATTACTTCGAAGTTTGAGTGTTAAGGACTGAAAAAGATAAAACAACACCTCTGCAGTTTCAAGATAAAGATTTAAGTGTTTCGTGGGAGATGAAATAGAGGGGATGGTCACTTCGCTAAATGCTAGGCAAGATTTTACAAAGTTGGTATGCTTCTTTCCTGCTTTCAGTGCTTTTACTGCTAAGGTGTTGCTTGAACGGACAAGTGTTTCCTGCAGCCAGTGACCATAAGCAGGAAAAATGATCACAACATCGAGCCAATCAAAATGTTTAATAATTTTTGTTTGTGTCAAGCTCTAATGGAAATAAACGAAAAATAAAACACCCATAGCAATAAAAATTAGTATGTGGGAAGCATTTATTGCTCTTGTTCCCTTTCTATACTCGATATATAATACTATTCTATGTACTCCTCTCTTCTTATTATATGTTCTTCTTCTCATAAATGTACCATATAATATTTAGCCAAATTTTGCGGTAATTTATAGAGTTGTTACCAAATTCACGTTACGTTTCAAACTCTATTATGTATAACTTGGATCATGCACCAGATGGCAGAGACATTGCTGCTTGGCCCTCAAATTCAAGGCTAAGTATTGGTCATGACCAAGCAAGAAAGGACTAGATAAATAGCAATGCACCATAGTTAAATGATTACCAGATAATCAAACTCTTTTTAAAGAGTACAAGAATGCACAAGTGCCACAAGACTGGAACTATACAGGGTCATCCACAGGTATAGCAGTATTAAAAGTAAAACTGATACCAAAGAACAATTAACTTTTTGCTGACCTTAAGTTCATGTATCCCATTAAAGGCCTCACGACACTCCGCCAAAAACATCAAATGGCGTTCCATTTCTGCCCCATAGTCAACCTAAGCATTAAAAATGAACTCAAAATCAACTAACTTGACAAAAAGAGCAAGTACTCACTGATTTCGTAATAATGTAAGTGGAACTTAAGGTACCATCTCAACAAAACGAGAAATTAAATGTGATGTCTGTCTATTGTCATCATCCTTTATGTTAACGAAATCTGTAGCATCATAAAGAGCCTGAGAAACTTCGAAAAGAAATTGCACTGTTGTTGAATCACAAATGCAGCCATTCCTGCTCCAAGGGAAAAGAAACATGTATACTTTAATCAAGAAAAAGGAAACTCAATACATAAACTTAAGGATCACAACTATATACAAATCATGTAAATTAACGTTCATCAACTTTACAGTCGTCTATGTGCTCCATCCAGTAAGTCTGAGATTTTTAATTCATATTTAGAACGATGGAAAAAACGAACAAGCCTTACCTTGTACCCATGTTAAGAAGATGCATGTTTACACTGCTCTTTGAAGTCCCAGACATAAGATCCAGAATCTCGATGAAATGATTCTAGAAGGTAACCAAAGAAATTGTTTAGCAACACTAGATAATGATGTCATCCAAAGGAATAGACAACGGCTCAATTTGGATGCTGCTTTTTGTTTCCTGAAAGCCTGAAAGTAGATAAAGGAAAGAGTGAAGAAAGTTTTACCAGAGGAAGTACTTCTTGCAAGTTCTCGAAATGAGCGAGCAGCTTCAAAATTATGGATTGCAAACTTGCTTGTTCTTCTTCAGAAAGAAACTTGTCACGAGCTAGATTTACAATATCATCCAAGAGAGCATCCAGATGATTTTCCTGAATCCATTAAAACTAATAAATAAAATCTCAAGAAATAAGATCAGAGAATTCTAATGACTACGAAAGCACTTCAGCCTCACCATCTTGTTCTGCAACATAAGATCCACATATGCGTCCATAATTCTTAAGTAGTCATACAGTGACTGATACTGAGAAGCGGCCTGTTACAATAGTTACATCTAAATATCAGCCTGTTGCAATAGTCATGTCACCTTTCTCTTTACAAATAGCTTTTGTTGACATATAAAATGTCAGTACGTCACCAACAGCGCAGGCACAAAAAGATTGATAAATCCATAAGAATGAATTCCTAATTTTGTTGAACGAAAAAGGAAACACCAAAACCTGAATAACTTCATCAATGAGTGAACTGAGAAAACCTTCTTGAGATTTCCCTTCAGACAGTTTATTTCCCAATAACCTATAATTCAAAACCTGCTTGACAAAGCAGTACAACATAACAGGAAGGGTTAGACTCAATGGATTGTATATTTTATTTAATCTGAGATGAGGAAATAACCTGACTAAAGGAACAATCATTGCTGCATTTAATCATATCCAGGATCTCCGTAGTTAGTGAAATAACTAATTCAGATGGAAGTTCCTTGAGTAGATGATGAAGTAAAATGGACACATGCGAAGAGTTGCAAGATGACTGAAATTTGTTCCTTCCAAATCCAAGCTCCTCAAGCATGCCCAAGACATTGTTCTCCTGTAGACTAACTAAATTTTAGGATAACAATCATTCATCACAAATCACGGAAAGGATAAACAAGGTCTGCCAGAATTTTTTTGCCTCAGCAACGAAACATAATGCAAAACAACTATATAAGTGATTACTGAAGCTCATTGCCTCATTGAGAATGGGAAAAAAATAGGTGGACCAAAAGCTTTAGTCACTAACTGGTCAAGAACAGTTACTAACCTGACGTCCAGTTAGAAATAAGCATTTCACTATATACTCGATGGCTGGTTCCACCAAACTAAAAAGCAACTTTTTGTCGTCTGTAATATAGGAATACCCCTCCTTGTCCACTAAAACAGGTGTTAATACATCTTCAATATCCTTGATGCATTTGATTAAATATCCTGTTATATCATGGTGAAACTTCTATATCAAATGTCTTCCTCAAGGAAGTAAAAAACATCTCACATAAATCTAAACATTGGTATGTAAAAGCCTAACTTCAAAATTCTCAAACCGGAGGTGTCTAACATCATGCATCATCTCGGCTTCTTGCTAAAAGTAAAAAGATAGGAGACACTTCATCTACAGATATTCAGTCATGATGGAATGATTCACGAGAACTCCCATGTGCTATACTCAAGTCAAACAGACACCCCTACTCTCTTCAAACTACATTCACTCATTACAGGGAAAATCATAACTTATAATATCCAGATCCTTTTCCACTACTAGCAAGAAAGTGTGACTAGGGTAGAATTTTGTATCCATTTCGATTTAAGAAAGCCAAGCTTGTTCTGCAACTTACAAACCATTATGTTTTGTCAACTATTTTGGGATCTAGCATTTTGCTGAAAGAATTATAGCATCAGAGTACCAGAATTGCAGAAGCCGAACTTCTGCATGCGATGCACCATATAAAGGCGACAGTACAAAGATGCCAGTGGATCTGCGAGACCTCTCACCATCATGACTAAACGATCTAGTACTTCCATGGGTTGATTAATGAGGAAACGCCAGCAAGGCAAGATTGCAAGCTCCAGATAACTATGGGCATACAAAGAAAGGCCAAATCTAAGGCAGAAGAAGGTAGGGAGAATAAGAAAAATAATAATTGATAGAGGCTTTACATGCGAGGGAGAAGTTCTCGAACAGAACCAACTTTGCAAAACCAGTTATAGCAAGTCTCTCTTGCTTCAAGGCAGATATCACTTGATTGAAAATCATCTGTCTTTAGCACAGGTAGAAAAGAAATTATAAGCTGCAACTAGAAGTAACGCTGCATGTTGGGCATCAAATGTATGTGTCTGGTTGCAATCATGAACAGATGCCCACGTCACGGAATTTCATTCTCAAGAACACTATGCTCAAGACAAAATATTATTTTACTCGAACACTCGAAAGAAACACAGGATTAGAGTAGAAATGCATACTCAGTAAGGAGCAGATCACTGTTCCATCTACATCAAGTTCTGCTTTCTGTTTGATCCGTTCCCACACCATATCCCCAAGCATATCTAGCATGTCAGTGACAATGACAAAGACTGTAGGATAAAACTGCAAAACTGTTGTATCCATCAGAAGTTTTGTGACCTGCAGAATGGAAGATATTATTGAACCTTAAAATTATAATAATCTAGTAAATTAGGAATAAATTATCTACGGCCAAAGCACATCTATATTTTTATTTTTCTAAGAAAACTGCTTCTATGGCGAAAAAGTATTGAAACAAACTCCAATTGAACACGAGCTTTTGAGAGCACAAAACCGTTAATGATAGAGAAATAGAACACAAAACCATTGCTTCGAAGTTTTTGCAAACAAATTCTCCATCTTTTGTTGCAAAGCAATATGATTAGTTAGTAAGTTAACCTTTATTGATAACTTCAACGATGTTACTCGATCTTCAGCCTGCCAAGCGCAATTTATTCCCTCTCTTAGCTCATGCACTTTGGCTATATATTCCTGTTGGTTGATTATTTTGGCCGGCTCTTCCAGAGAAGTTTGTTCGCTACCGGTTTCCTCCGAATGGGAAAGAGCAGAAGGGGCCTCAACTGCTGATTGAGTAAAGCAAAGTATAAGCTGTTATGATATGTATCCACAAGTCCGGGAGACAATGAAAAGTTATTTATTAGGCATAACGAAGACATACCTTTGGAACCTTTCATTATTATATTAGATATCTGTAAAAGATGGGTGAACAGGTTAGACAAGATGAAATAAGGGAGACACCAAATTATCTTTTAAGCAGTATGATCAGGTTTTAACAAAAATAAAAATCTTATCTTTAAACAAATAATAAGACTTTCTGCGAAGAATATACGTAACTGGAGAAAATGAAATCACTTTGGAGACAGGAAACCGCTGCATTAAGACTCTTTTAAGTGATTTCCACTCTTTTATCAGATCTTGAGTTACAGCTTCAATGGACATAGAAGTATCTTCAACATTCTCTTCTGCAGAAGCATTCACATCCAATCCCCGCAACGGATCAAAGAAGTCAAGATCGTTACCTCTAACAGTTTTAGCCTACATATATTGTATAAAATCAATTTGTCAAGTCTTATAATGTTTATCAATCTGCTTCAAGAACTAAAAATCAAAAGAAACATCATTCCTCTATCAAAAACAAGATTACATTGTACCAACACAATGTACAAGAAGCCATCAAATTCAGTAGCAATAATCATTCCAACAGAACAAACAACAATATATTGAAGTCAAATCCTAATTATTTTTTCTCTAAGCTCTAGGAAGTCACAGAAGACTAATGAATTGGATAAGCTAGTGAACGCCTTAAGGAAGAGTATCGCAGACCTGTTGTTGACGAGAAGCAAGTGTAGAGGAAAGAGGATGCTTTTGAGCATGTGACCGAGGAAGAAATTGAGATTTCTGTGTAGCTCCATAGTCGCGACGCCGGAATTCCAACTCCATGGCTTTGTGATTCTCGTCGTCGTCTCTCCGGAGACGATCCGCGATTCTGCTTTGAGACGCACCAAAGCTAAAAGATACGGTGTCGTTTTAGTGAAAAGTCAAATTGGAGTTGACGTGTGCGAAACAAAATTCTAACCCAAGTATGAACCGTGCCGAACCAAACCAAACCAAGATGAATTAATTTCATCAACCAGAGTACTCGGATCTAATTAGACAAGAGCAAATTAAATTAGTTCTTATATGTACTAAGTTTGGTGTTCTTCAGTTAAGCTTCATTTCTTTGTTTTTTTTTTTTTTACACCAAATAAAGCTATTTCATTTTTGTATATTTTCTATCTTCTTATTAAGCTCTTTTGAGGAATAACCAAATTATCCAACAACAAAAAGTTGATTATAACATAGCAAATAACTATTTTATATATTTACAGTTTACTTTTTATGGGACCTGAGCACTTCTCTCCATTTGCCACCGCTTCTTGTTCAAAAGTCAATTTGAATATCCTTTGTTCACGCTTTAGGTCGATGAAAATTGTTTTGGACATTTTTTGTAACTAGAAAGTTACTCATAGTCTTCTTCATTCGGATTGATAATATCTGTGGTGGATTGATAAATGTAGCACCTTTTTTTTAGTAAGGTGATAAATGTAGCACCTTAAACGTGAATTAGGATCGACCTCATGATATTATCAATCCGAATGAATTATATTATTTATGGAATTATATTTTTTTGTAATTTATATTGCTAAATCAATAAGTAGTCTTGAGAATGAACAATTTCTTTTCAAAAGCTATTTAGATGATAAGTTTAACTTTTTGTCAAGATTAATAGTTTTTGTTTATCTAATAATTAATAATAATACATATTTTTAAGAGTATTTTAATCAACTTCATTTTTTTGTCATCAAATACTGAATTAAATAAAAGTCTGATACAGACCAAGTCACCAAATAAAGAAAAACAGAGTTCAAAAACATAGAAATTAAATCAATTTCATTTAGAAATTAGATTTTCAGCATATCTATCATTTAAAAAAAATTCTTAATAAATTGTTTGAATTAAAAAAGAAGTATGTACCATACGCAAGTTCTTAGGCAATATACCTAGTACTACTAGGCTAGTAGCTTAGTAGTTAGCTTATACGTTATACAGGCACACCTATATGTACGCTTATATCAAATGGCATGTTCATTTGATCATAAACAAATCCAAGTAAATGCTGATTAACAAATTAACAAACAAAAACATTACATAAAAAGATTGCTATATCTCAAATTGTCTATGATGAATAACTTCTTTAGCTATTCTTACTAGTATCATAACAATTTAATATAAAATAAAATAAAATACTGCCAAGAAAAATGTTAGACGAATTAAGTAACGAACTTATTCAATAATAATTAATTTTATAAAAAAACTATGTATATTATGGATTTCATTTAATATTCTCGACGGTGTACGAGCTGAGAGGGCACAAAGACTTGGAACGAAAGTCACTATGTATATTAGGGACTTGATTAACGTTGCTTCACCATACCGCATGCCTTTAATTTCTCGTCCAGCCACACTTTTAGGTCACATTCCGGCTCTTCGTTAATAACCGGTTTATCCTTCTATTTTATTTTATTTTATTTTTTAAAGCATATATCACTTGATCAAGTTGCTCACATTTGTCATCACACAAATATCTTAATTAGTATTAGAATTGAGGCTTTAACATATGATGCGTGTCATCACCATATATCTATTGTTAGACCTAAGAGAATATCAAAATCTGGTAACCTAGAATTTTACCAACATGTATATGATACGTCGTACATTGATTTATCGCTTAACTAATTAACCAGCCGTGCTTAGATCATATGTATCATTAATTATTTTTGTTTATCTTGTGGCTATAATGTCAAGTGCATTAGTAAGATGTGATCAAAGCTTGATCCCAAGAAGCATCACATATGTATATAGTTAGTGATCCAATACCGAATTATATATATAAGCGATGATAGGGAAGAAAAAAAAAATTACGAGTTAAATATATAGGGTCAAATTACACCACTACATATGGTTCCTGCTTCCTTCGTTCACAATTGGATCTAAATTCTAAGGTATAATAATAAGCAAGACCCAAACAAATACACAAACTTACGCTACCAAACAAAATATATACTGTAGTTGTTTGAATATAAACTTGAAATGTCAAAATTCTTGGAAAACTAATTACAAATTTTTTTGGACTTTGTGATAAAAATATTCAACATTAATGAAGAATTATTTGAACGTACTTAACTCAATTTTCATCACATGCATAGCTACTACAGAATAATACGACTCGTCAAACTTTATATAAACTCTATTTCCCTCGTCCTTACCATACATTTCACTCCCCAAAATCTCTCTATCTCTTAACTTCTCTTTTTAACAACGAAAAGGACGATGGGGCATAGAAATATCATCTTAACAATACTTCTAACAACTTCCATAGCCATAATTGTACTCATTTCTACAGTATTTGTTAGCAACAACAAAACAGAAACGTTGTTGCAAACGCAAATACAGACGCAAACGCAAATTACGAAGAGATCTCTAAGGGTGAGTCGTTTCTTAGTGCAAAACGGAAAGAACGGTCGTAACCTTAACGCGGCGGATCATTGCAATAAGGACGAGGAGATATGCAAGAGTCAAGGAATGTACAACTCAACCATGGCGTGTTGTAGCAACAAGTGTGTTGATCTGGCGTACGATAATGATAACTGTGGCGCATGTAAGAACCAATGCAAGTTCACGCAGACTTGTTGTAGAGGAGAGTGCGTTTACTTAGCTTATGATAAGAGGCATTGTGGGGAGTGCAACCATAGTTGTTTGGTTGGTGAATTTTGTGTTTATGGATTGTGTAATTACGCGTGATTAGTTTTTATATATTAAACTTTGGTATTTTATTAGTGCTTGGTTTATTTCGATTTATAAACTTTAATCGAGAATTTGATACGGCTAGAGTGATTTTCTTTGTGCTATGAGTTTGAATATTTGACATTGCAAAAAAGTTTAAGAAATGGAGAACATAATCATTGTTGGTGATTTAAACGTCAACATATCTCATTTATATTCTTTATATACAAGATTCTCAGAGAAAATTTTGGGTATTCCTTAGTTGAGTATTTCTTGGAGATCTTTTTTTGCTTACATTAATTTTGCAGCTACAAAATTTCATATTAACGCTATAAAATTTTTTATTTCAAAAATTTAGCTACCGAATTAAATTCAACATGAGAAGAACAACACATACTGACACATTGTATAGTGGATATAAATCTATGGCCAGTGAATAGTAATCCTTGATAGATTGACAGCGTTTGAGATTTTGCTTATAAATCCGCAATTTGATTCTCTTTTGTTAATTTGTTGTCTATTCAAAGTTCAAACAAAAAGAAAATCAAATTTCAAATTACTTGATCATGAAATATCATCCAATGATTTTTTGAATATATATTTCGAGGAAATATATTTCATCAAATTTTATTCATTTATAATTAGTTAGTCAGCAATCTGAAAGAATAAAAAAAATTAGTTTGTCTACATAACAATCCATACATATCTGGTACTAACTTAATAATACATGATCAAATTACTCATTTTCCTTTTACAACAAAATTTTTACTGCTTTTAATACATAGTCTATTTTTATCAAAGAACCAACATTGCCACAAGGTAGCTGATACCGATCCAAAGTGCTAATTTGTTGACGATGACGGTCTTGGACATGGACCAATAATCTGGCAGCAACACAACTTCATAAGTCTTTACTAACATATAAATCTCAAAATTTATGAACTATATAATATATATTGTTCCATTTTGCATATCAAAAATTCTATATCACAAATAGATAGTGATTTTCAAACATAAACTTTGTCTAGAGAGTAAAAATTATTTGAAAGAGAAGAAAAACTTAGAGATAACGCCTAAAGATTAAAGGGATTATTGTTCCTTTTGCCCTTTTTCATCAAAATCTTTTGAAAATACCATTTTTACAAAAATCTTACGGATTTGTCAATTTTTAATCACTTAAAATGTACGTATTTACGATTTTGTTTTGTAAAAATACGTACTTTATACCAAATAAAAAAAACCTAAGAACAAATAAAACCGACTAAACCCAAACATAACAGGTAAAACGCATATTAAACCACAATTTTATAGCCTGAAAAAGAGCAAAATCTACAAACTATTCAAAAAAGATAAAATCCATAAATGTCATTCAAAAATGGCAAATCCGTAATTGATTCAAGATTAAAATAAATTGAACGGAATATGTAAGGAAGTAATTCCAAAAAAAAAACAAAGAACGGAATCAAATTTATGAACCGTATAACATATATTATTCCATTTTCTATATTAAATATATATTATATGTGATATTATTTATCAACAATGACCGAACCTCAGTTTTTGAATACCGGTTGTTTGCTGTATATGATGGTAACGAGTGATGCTTAATGAGTTGACATATTCAATCTCAGGAAATGAATACAATATGAGATTTTGATATAGCTGGTTTTTCTTTACCTTGAATGTTACAAGAACAGTCATTTTCTCGTTGAACATTGTATCGAGGATATTACGCGATGATATAGAGAAGAAGATCTTTGGTCAAAGTAAACATCACTGCAATGAACATATGTATGCCTCTTATGTTTATATATTTATGTAAGTTCATTATTATAAGATATAGTTCTTTGTTGTAATTAGGTTCATTCGAAAGTTTACAAACGGAAACGGAGAATCTAGGGAGTCTGAGACCACGGTGTATAACTATTTTCCCGAAGTGTTGGGAATTAATTATCTGGAATATTCAGGTGACTTTCTTTTCTAACCATCTGATTTACTTACCGATTGAGGTGATTTAAATAGTTTTCAGATTAACATGCCACATTTTCATGCAGATATTATGAAAATTGTTGCTAGCTTGCAGTTCTTCTTTATCTTGTAACTGATTTTGTTACTACAATCCAAAGTGCAGCAGATTTATCTGAAGTTAACT